TATCTACTAATAATCTTCAAAGCAGTCCCAGTTTACAATGGAGGTCACTAAATTGCTCTCTAGAATGGAGCCCTCAGCAGTTCATCTGTTGTGCATGAAGTGTGCCCTTTTTTTGCACTGCGTGATTGACTTTACAAGACATTTAGAGGAGGGTTAACCATGTAATTTACTGTTGGAACAGCATTCTTCTGAGAGTAAACAGGGATGATGTCAATCATTGATGACAGTTGCAGGTGTGAATGGGCTTTGTCCTCGCTGATCAGTATATATGGTCAGCCTATGTACTGGATGTTAATAAAATAATCTCAGATAACCACAATACTAAGAATTCAATATAGAAGTGGCTAATTAGAAGGCTATGTTAGAGACAAAGAAGTTTAAGCTAAAACATTTTTAGCTTCTGGATTGGCAAAGAAAAATTTCATTATCACTTGAAAAATAGATATTCCATATTGATAAGGGAACCTGACCCGTACTTCAGATATGTATGTGGAAGAGAAATAGATGTCATCCACAGGGAATGTGGAATTTCTTTTCTTGATTTGTAAAAATGATTAACATCCCCCCCCCCAAAAAAAAATGTGTATCTTTCCTTCACTGATGTGGAGAAAGTGAGCATTCCCTAAAGTTTGTATTTTAGCATAGTTTGGTACATCTTATGCACAGCATGTATCAGAATACAAAATGAGCCATCCCCCTAAGTTTGCCCTCAGAAATATGTTGAGTTGCTTTTTGTTCAAAGTCTTACCTTCATGCTGCAGTTATTTTCTCAATTAGTCTATCTTGCACAACCAAGAACTGTTTGGTGAAGATGCACTGATTTCTAATTTTGTTATGGTTGGAAAATGTACTTTGTACATCCAAACCAGAGTGGATCCGTAAGTTAATTTTTTTTATCAAGTATGGGATATTTTCTTTTATATGAGGCGGGGCATCACTGGGGAATGAACTCAGGGCCTCCTACTTGCTAAGCAGGAGCTCTACCACTTGAGCCACTTTGCCAGCTAAATATGGGATATTTTCAGCCATTATTTCTTCAGATACTTTTTTCTGCTCTTTTCTTTCCTTCCTTTTGGGAATCTAAGTATATTGGTATACTTAATGTATTCCAGCAAGTCTCAGAGATTCTGTTCATTTTTTTTCATCTTTTTTTTTTTTTTTTTTTTTTGTCCTTGTTCTGGGAGTTGAACTCAAGGGCCTCATGCTTGCTAGGCAGGTGCTCTACCACTTGAGCCATGCCCCTAGCTCAGTCTTTTGCCTCTCTGTCCTTTCAATTTCTGCTTGTCTGTTGGTAATATAGCAGAATACAAACTTGCCCCGCTCCAAAGCAAAAGTAGACAAATGAGATTGCATCAAACTAGCATAGCAAAGGATTGATCAGCAGAGTGAATGGATGATCTATAGAATGAGAGAAAATATTTGCAAACCATAATCTGATTAACAGCTAATATCTAAAATACACAGATAACTCAAACAGTTTACATCAAGAACTCAAATAGCCTGAGTAAAAAATGGGCAAAGAATCTGAAGAGACATTTTTCAAAAGAAGAAATATAAATGACTAATATATATATATATATGAAAAAATGCTCAGTATCACTAAACATTAGGAAATGCAAATTAAAACTAAAATGAGACATCACTTCATACATTTTAGAATGGCTGTTGTAAAAGAGACTAAAGTGTTGGCAAGGATGTAAAGAAAAGGCAGCCCTTGCACACTGTTGTTAGAAATGTAAGTTAGCCATTATGAAAAACAGTATGGAGGTTCCTCAAGAAAATAATAGAGCTGCCATGTGATCCAGCCATGCCACTGCTGGGTATGTGTCCGAAGGAAACAATGTCAGTATGTCACAGAGACATCCGCACTCCCATATCCGTTGCAGTTTTATTCCCCAGTGCTAGATATGGAATCAATCTCAATTCTGTAGTGGGTGAACGGATAAGAAACATGGTGCACATGCAAATGGAATACCACTCGGCCTTAAGAAAGAGGAAATCCTGTCATTTGCAGTGGCCCAAATGAACAAGGAGGATGTAAGTGAAATAAGCTAATGTGACATTAGGAAATAAGTATTTGGCCTTTATCCTTTTCTTTGCATTAAACTCCAGAAATTCTTGGAATCTCTGAAGTACGCTAATGTGTGACTGAGGGCTGACAGCCCCTGGTATTCGAATACAGGACAGGTGCTGGTCACCCAGAAGACCTAGGCAGGATTAGAGGGCTGGGTCTCTTGTCCCCACCCAAACCTCTGGGGAGGGGAGATGGGTGAAAAATGAAGTTGACCACTGACAGCAAGTGATTTAATCAATCATGCCTATGCAGTGAAGCCCCCATAAAACCCAGAAGGACAGGACTTCCAGATAGGTGAGCACACAGAGGTTCCTGGAGACTGGAGTGCCTGGAGCAGGTGTGAGAGCTGTACATACCTCCCACAGGTGTCACCCTGTGCATCTCTTCATCTGTGTTCTTTGTAAGGTCCTTTACAACAAACCAGGAAACTTAAGGAAGCATTTCCAAGAGTTCCACAAGCTGCTCTGGCAAATTAGTGGAAACCAAGAAGGGGATTATGTGAACCCCGATTTAGAAGCTCAGATAAACAACCTGGGTTGGTTTGTGACTGCATCCGAGGTAGGGGGTGGTCTTGTGGGCCCCAGCCTTGGCTTGTGGGATTCAACACTATTTGCAAGTGAACAGCGTTGAAACTAAATTGCACTTGAGGACACTCAGTGCCCACTGCTACAGGCATTGCTTGCTCAGGTGTGGAAAAAACCATGCACACCTATAATCCCAGCACTCAGGAGGCTGATCCAGGACCATTAAGAGTTCAAGGACAAGTTGAGTTACATAGCAAGTTTCCGGCTACCGTGGGCTATAGAGAGAGACAGGATGAAAGAAGTGATCTGTGCTTTGTGAGTGTAGGAGGAGAGACTGAGTCACAGTTTGATTGTCCTCTGTATTGACATGAGGCACAGAAAGACAAATATACCATCACACCCATGCTGGTGTTGTAGAATAGAGAGGAGAATGGTGGTTACCAGTGGCTGGATCCTTGGTCGGGAGGGAGGCTAGAGAGTTGTTGGTTGAAGGACACAAAATTTCAACCAGAAGAGATAAGTTCAGGGGATCTATTGAATAATGCAGTGACTGCGGTTAATCAGAAATGCTAAAGTGTATATAAAGTGCTCACCACAAAAATGATAATTTTAAGGTAATACAGGTACTAATTAGCTAGATTTAGTCATTCTGTAATGTTTGTTTTCAAAGCATGTGTAGGGTAAATACAATTTCATCTGTGGTTTTTTTTTTTTTTTTTTAAGAAAGGAGTATTGATTTGCTACAGTATGTCATCTGAAATCCTCACTGTTTCCTCTTCTGGCTCAACCCTGTTTATGAGCCCCTCTAGTCAGTTTTCCATTTCTGACAATATACTCTCTAACTCTAGATTCCCTTGGTTCTTCTGTATAGTTTCTCTACTGAGATTTCCTATCACATCATTGTCATCACTTTTCCTTTAATTCTCTTTATAACGACTGCTTTTTAAAGTCTTCGCAAAAGTTATCATCTCTGTGAATTTGTCCTTACTATACTTTTCTCCTGAAGAGTCAAGTTTTCTTATGCATGTACAGAAATATCACAGTGAAATTCCTTTGTACAATTAATATATGCTAATAAAAACGAGAGGGAGGGATAACAAAAAGAACCAAGTTTTCCTGTTTATATATCAAGAACTTTTGGATGAAAACTTGATAATGCAACAACTCTGTATTATAACTGTTTTGGAGTTGTTGGATTTGCTTTAGAAACTTACCTGTGCAACCACTGAGATATCTTCATTTTTTGTGTTGGTTTTTAAGCCTGCCTTCTAGAGGTGGCCTCTGTGTTTGTGCAACTCGGTGGTCAGCCGGTGATTTAGGCAGAGGTTATGTCCAGAGGTTATGAGCCTGAAAAGCGTCAGATTGATCTGAGGAATGCATACCAAGTCACTGCCAACTTCAGTGGTCCTTAGCATCTACTTTCTGGTCTTTCCTGCTCATGTACGTAGGTTTCTAATTAGCCACAGCTCAGTGGAGAACTCACTTCAGCCTTTTTGTGGCTCTCTGCTTTCCAGTTGGCCCTGTCACATTTCTGATAAGCCATGACCACACTGTGGACTCAAAGCTGTAGGGATTTTCCTGTTCTTTTCTGATCCAGACTCAGGTTTTTACCCACTGGTTCACATCATATTGATAGTAATAGTGAGGGTGTGAATTAACCTCATGCAAAAATGCTACTGACCCCTGTCATAAGCTAAAGCCCTAGAAGTTGTTTCAACAAAATACTTCTTTTGTTTGTTGAGATAGCATCTCTCTATGTAGCTTGAGGCGGCCTGGAACTTGCTCTGACCCAGTCTGGCCTCAAACTCAAAATCTTCCTTCCTCGGCCTCTCAAGTGTTGGGATTATAGAAGTGCACCACCATGCCTGGCTTGCTTCCAGAAAACATTTGTTTTTCCAGAAAACATTTGTTTTCTGCATGTGGTTCATTTCCAGGGTCCTGGAATGATTGTTTTTGCCAGAGGGGACAGGATCATTTGGGGTTTTTGTTTTTGTTTTGGGGGAGATGGTTGGTGGCACTGGAGTTTGAACTCAGGGCCTCTGCTTGCTAGGCTGGCACTCTACCATTTGAGCCACTCTACCAGCCCTATTTTATGCTGGGTATTTTTTTAAGATAGGGTCTCCTGAACTATTTGCCTGGGCTTGCTTCCAACCATGATCCTCCTGATCTCTTATCTCCTGCATAGTTAGGATTACAGGGGTGAGCACCTGGTTTGTTTTGCTTTTTGTTTAAAAAAAAAAAACTTGTTTCTCCAATAAGTCTCAAATACAGGGTGTGCTTGTTTTAAAATTAGTAGACAACAGGGTATTTTTTATGGTTTAAATTACATACTTAGAATGGTTTTACATTTGACAGTTCTTTGTATCTCCCAAACATAGTAATGCCTTTGTTTCTTTTCTTAGCACGATTGCGTGGTGTTCATGATGGTCTGTTCACGGGACAGATAGATGCTGTGGATACTCTTAATGCTACTTACAGAGTAACCTTTGATAGGACAGGGCTTGGGACTCATACTATCCCTGACTATGAAGTTCTTGTAAGTACGATTTTATAATACACTTGTGTTTTGTGCATGTTAACTATGTTGTGTGGAGTTTTCTTAGAAATTATATTTTATGATAGAGTAAAGACTTGCATTCAAAGAGGAAGACATCCTTAGGGGTTCCCACCCTGTCTGCCTAACCCCTGCAGCAGAACTGTCCTTAAATCTTTACTTTCCAGAAGCTGAGAACCCCCTATTGTACTTAACCCACGCAGTACTTCAGTGTAACAGAAGTGGTCACTCCCATCTGGTATAGTATCAGGAAGAAACTTACCACTTTTCCATCCCAGCTCTTTGATTAAGATACAGTCCTTTTATAAAGTCTGAAAAACCTCTTTCACTTGAAGTTTTGTTCTCCTGTTATACCCTCCCAGCTATACAGGGCTGCTATTAATATCTTCACTTCTGCAGCATGAGATTAAGAATGAGTACATTAGTTAATTTATTCAGTGCTCTAGAGCTGGTTTCCTGTTATGCTGAGAGCAGAATCCAGATAATTGAGTCTCTGGTGTACTCCACTAAACTACTGGACCATTATCTTGTGGTCATTTGTAATTTAGCAATGTCAAGGAAATCCACACCTTTTTCTGCATGTGGTGCTGGACTTGAACCCAGGGCTTCGCGCTTGCAAAGCAGGTTCTCTGCCTCTTAAGAAACACCTTCAATCTGTTTTGCTCTGCTTATTTTGGAGATTGGGGTCTCCTGCTCACTTTGCCCAGGCTGGCCTTGAACCTGTATCCTCCAATCTCAGCCTCCCAAGTAGCTAGCGTGGCAGGTGTGAGCCACTGGCACGCTGGCAGCAGTTGACTTTGATGATAGTAGCATTTATTCAGATGGTCAAATGCAAATAAAGGTGGCCATAGAACACTTTAATGTTGATGTCTAGTTCTTTGAACTTTCGGCACTCTTTGATGTTTTCCTTCTCTTAAGTCTTCTTTTTAGGGGGTTCAACCTTTTGACAGCAAAAGTAGTGTTTCCATTTTCTTTTCTTCTGTTTTGTTTCTGTTTGTTTTGCTTTTGGCATTTGAGATGGTTGGGCACAGGGCCTGCCACTTGCTAAGTGAGTGCTCTTAGCAGCTCAGTAAGTCTTCAAGCCAGGGCCTCATTCCTGGCCAGAGCCCCACCTCCAGTGCTGCAGAGCGATCCACCTCACAAGCAGACCTGAATGTGCTCTATGAGCTGTCATAGCTCACACACTGATTATATGTATCTCAAGTTGACATATTTAAAAGCTCAAGTGATCGGTAAATTTACCTAAGCTTTGTGTGTGATTCTCTTTCCTCAAAGAGTAATGAGCCTCATGAGACGATGCCGATTGCTGCCTTTGGACAAAAACAGCGTCCTTCTCGGTTTTTTATGACCCCCCCGCGGTTACATTATGCTCCTCCTCTCCAATCACCAATTACGGTAAGTAGTTGTATAGAAAGCCACCTGCAGTTTAGTTGCTCTTACGCCTGTGAACCATGTTCTTATGGAAATATGCATCTATTGCAAGAGCTTTTCATGTTATTTTGAGTTGCTTTGCCAGGCACCAGTGGCTCATGCCTGTAATCCTAGCTACTCAGGAGGCAGAGATCAGGAAGATAGTAGTTCAAAGCTAGCCCAGGCAAATAGTTCACAAGACCCTATCTCGAAAAACCATTCACAAAGATAGGGCTGGTGGAGTGGCTCAATATGAATGTCCTGAGTTCAAACCCCAGTACCGCAAAAAAAAAAAAGTCATTTCAACTCTGGAGATACTTTCCTTCTTATTGGGTTTTAATATAATGTAATACAATTTTCATTTTATCTAAAAGTAAGATAGTTTGTTTTGAGCAGTCACTAATGAGATGATTCCCTTCTATTCCTATAGGATAATGACCCTTTGTTAGGACAGTCACCTTGGAGAAGTAAAATTTCTGGCTCTGATACTGAAACATTAGGAGGTTTTCCGGTGGAATTCCTTATCCAAGTGGTAAGACTTACTCTGAATCTTTTGTGCTCTACCTTTTCATCATTTCCCCCTACCCTTTGAAACCATTGGTCTTTTTACTTGCTCCCTATTCTCACCTCTTCCAAAACGTCATGTAGTTGTGATCATGAGGTATATTTCCTTTTCAGATTGGCTTCTTTCTTGTACTGATATGCATTTGAATTCCCCATGTCTTTTCATGGCCGTTTAGCACTGAATAATTCTACTGTGTGTCCAGCCATTTCTGGGTCCATTCACCTACCAGAAGATGTCTTGATTATTTCCAAGTTTGCGCAGTTATGAAGGGCTCTCCCATAAACATTTTGTGCAGGTTTTTGGGTAGAACTCAGTCTTCATCTTTTGTATCTTATGCAAACCGGTAATGATATATAGAAGTTTGGTTCGATTTAGGTCCCTCCCCCCTTTGATTGTTTTATTGCTTTTAGGTGAATGATTAACTTTTATAGGTGGTTTTGTGTTCTGACCGTGATATTTTATCTTTTTAAATGTTGGCATTTCTTCCTGGCTTATGGCTGAAACAGTTCTATAAAGGAAAACCTAATCTATTACTTGGTAACCTAATCGTATAGTCTGTATTGGAGAGATGGAATAAATATTTGATGCCTTCTCTTTGCTTCCCAGTTTACAAAATAATGAGTTTGATCACTAGCATTCTCTAACACAGGTGAACTTTTTAAAGTATCACTGTGATTTTATGGATTTTAACATTTGCATTCAGTTCTTTCCAGTTACTGTTCTTTTGGTTAACGGATTATCCTGTCTTGAACTAGAAAGCTTGTTCAGGTTGATGTGTTAGTCCTTTCAGCATACTCTACTTACAGTGGATTTTAAAGTATTTTCACGTCAGTTATCAAATACAAAAACAAAAGGCTTTGTTCTATTTACATTGAAATACTAAAATGTGTTGCTGCTAAAACATCTATAAAAAATTGAAAGCCCAAAAAAAAAATTTGAAAGGCCAGATATGGTGGCTTACACCTATAATCCCAGGCCTTAGGATGTTCAAGCCAGCTTGGGCTACATTAAGTGAGACCTGTCTCAGAAAAGAAAAAAAAAAAGGAAATTTGATATTTCACTGAGATGCCTAAATTCTCTATGTATTCTAAAAACATTTTTTCTTTGTCTATAGACCAGATTATCAAAAATTCTCATGATTAAAAAGGAACATATCAAGAAACTAAGGGAAATGAACACAGAAGCAGAAAAACTGGTAAGGATTTCTCTTTTTCCCTTTGCTTGTCTAATTTTAAGATGGTGAGCCTTCTATGTCTAATGATTTTCAAAATCTTACAGAAGAAAATATTGCTGTAATTTTTTTTTTTTTTTTTTTTTTTGGCAGTACTAGGGCTTGGATTCAATGGCCTCATAATTGCTAGGCAGGCACTTTTTTTTTTGGTACTGGGGTTTGAACTCAGCGCCTATACCTTGAGCCGCTCCACCAGCCCTATTTTTGTGAGGGGTTTTTCGAGATAGGGTCTCACAAACTATTTTCCTGGGCTGGCTTTGAACCGCAATCCTCCTGATGTCTGCCTCCTGAGTAGCTAGGGTTACAGGCGTGATCCACCGGCGCCCGGCTAGGCAGGCCCTTTTCCCACTTGAGCCATTCTTTCAGTAATCGTGCGATAAATGTTATTTTAAAATCATCATTTGTAGTCACGCTGTCTTGTTATATTGAACACATGCTAATAAATCAGTAGTGCAGTGCACCCCTGACAAGTGAACAGGATTACTGGATGCATTTGGTTCCTTGGCGGTTTACGTGATACACGACTGGTGTGTCTGACTAAGGATAAGCAGAGGTTGTAAAAGTGCTTCAGGCCATACATGGTTGCACGTGTGTGTGCGTCCCTGGGATTTGAACTCAGGGCAGGCGCTTGGTTGCATACATCTTTAATCCCACGGAGACTGAGCTACATAGGAAGGCCCTGGCTCCAAAAAATAAAACAAAGTACTTCAGAATAAGTAAATCAGAAAGTATGTAAGTTATCATTTCAAGTCATCTTGATTGACAAAGTTTATAGTCTATTTCATTAATCTGTAAGTCCAAAATATGGAGTCAGAGCCAAGCGCCAAAGACTTATGTCTGTAATCCTAGCTATTTGGGAGGCAGAAATCAGGAGGATCAAGGTCCAAGGCCAGCCCAGGCAAATAGTTCACAAGACCCTCGTCTCCAAAAATAACCAGAGCAAAATAGACCAGAGGTGTGACTCAAGCAGTAGGTAGAGGTCCTGCTTTGTAAACATGAAGCCAAGTTTGAATTCTAATCCCTCCCCAAAAAAAATTGAGTTAGTTTTATTCATAAGAGAATTATCAGAGGTGTTTTTTTACCTATTTATATAGAAAATATTAATGTTTTTGAGTTGGACTGGGATGGAGCTCAGTGGTAGAATGCTTACCTAGTATGTAAAGGCCCTGGATTCCATCCCCAGCACCATAATAAAAGAGCCTTTGAATTGTAATGAAATTCACAACTATTTAAGGATTTGTAGGATAGCTCATAGGTTTCACCTCAAGTTCTGTCTCTGATTGATTGGAAATATCTGAGGGAGATGTGGAAATAAGGAGGTTCGGTGACAGCTGAGGGAGCCAAGTGCTGTCATGAGTGCAGATGTGGGGAACAGAGTGTGTCACATATCTGGGGCTGAAGGTTGTAAGGGATAGATGGTGGACAAGCAGCTGCACGGGTGGCTCCAACCCAGTGAAGACCAGTGCTCCTAGGAATCTGAAAATGACCAAATTATCTGACTTGACCTCCTCATTTTGTGGAAGTAGAAACTGAAGACTGAGAGATATCAAGTGATTCTGTCCATGATCCACTTCTGCTGGGTAGTACAGATGCTGAACTGAGACTTGGCCCAGTTTAACTCATTGACGCGCAGTGAAATCAGTGCTCTCCCCATTTCTGTTTCCTCTAGTCACTTAATCATCTCTTCCATCTTGAAATAATTATTTCCCTTTAATATGACTATCTCGACTTCTTCCTGCACCTGAGTTCCAGGTCTTAAAGTAATGAACTTGCCTTTGCCCAGTGAGTCTTACCTACCTTCACGTAAGACCTGTTGCTGGCTTGGCTTGTTGGTATGTGAGAACTCTGTAGAACAGGTCTGGTTTCTTTGATAGCTTTTATTACTAGTTTTATTTTATTATGATTAAAATAATTCCTATATAAAAATTCAAACATGAAACTAGTGAGGAAAACCGTGGCTCTTTATAATTCCTCCTCCATAAAGAAAATACTGTTCATGATTTGGGAGTTTCTAGTAAGAGTTTTTGAAAATCTCATCAAACTCAATAAGTTTTCTTCAAAACCATTTGGAATTATTCCTAAAAAAATGATGGAATATATACAAAAATTCAGTTTATATGTATGTTTATATGTTTACCATATGGATTTTTTTTTCCTTGCACATACTACCATATGTAGTTCAAAGAGCAAGTGCGGACATGAGCTGGTGACTCACGTCTATAATCCCTGCTACTCAGGAGGCAGAGATGAGGAGGAATTCGGCTCAAAGCCAGCCCTGGCAAATAGGTCTTGATACCCTATCTCAAAAAAACCATCACAAAACTCGGCTGGTGGAGTGGCTCAAGCAGTAAGAGCACTTGCCTAGCCAGTGTGAGGCCCCGAGCCTCAAACCCCAGTGCCGCAAAAAAAAAAAAAAAAAAAAAAAAGAGCAAGTACAATGAATACTTGTGCCAATTGTGCTGATTTTTAAATAGGTCCTTACTTCTAGTAGTGTTAAGGGTTTGTTGAGGTTTGATTTGATACCTGTATTTAATAAAAACAAGTGTAGAGCAGGATGGCTTTCTGTTCAGCATAGCTCCTTTGTAGTAGAGCTTGGTAACATTTATAGCTTTCCCAGATCATATGGCTAAGTTTAACTGGGACCATCAAAAAGAAAACAGATGTATGATATGTGACTTTAAGACTAGTCTTAAAATGCAAGAGTGGAAACTATTCTCAGAGACTACCATTTCTGCTTTGATTTAGTATGTACACAGTACCTTACAGAGGCACTAAAAATTAAATAAGTTCATTCACATTCATAGCTTTAAGACACCTTTTTTGTAACACCTAAACTTATTTTGATATAATTACATGCTGATTTCAAAGTAATTATATAAAATGCCTATTACTTATGTATTCACTTGTGAGTTGGAATTTTGCAGAGTATAACAGTGACAAATACAAATTATCCAATTAGTGTAAAGAACCCCAAATGTCATAATAGGAGATTTTATTTTCAGTATCCCCAGGGCTTTTACTTAAGGAGACCTTAAGGGATATAGAAATTTACCCAGAATTATGGATTGATTATATTGGCACACTTCCTACTTTTTAGCATCTTTATTCTTTCCTTTTCTATGATGTTTCAGGTTAAAAGCACAGAACTAATTGAACATCAACACTTTTAACCTCAACTGTTTTAGTATAACTAGGAGTGCTTTCATCTACCCTGTCCCCACCTAGCCTCTATCCTAAAAAATAATTCGTTATTTTATTACATTTAATATTTAAGTTAGAAGCTAATTTTGTTTTACCAAAATGAACTGAATAGTCCACCATTTTTCACCTCAAAGGTTTGGACATCTTACTTTGTTTAAAGTATACTTGCTCTAGATTTTATAAGGAAAGAAGAAAATCAGTCTGGTAAATCTGTTTGCCCAGATTTGGCTCCAACCGCAATCCTCCCCATCTTATCTTCTCAAATAGCTAGGATTACAGCTGTGAGCCACCAGGGTCCAGCTGAGTTGCCTTGTTTTTTTTTTGTTTGTTTGTCTGTTTTCATTATCTATTTAAATTAGTGGACAGTAGAGTGCCTGTCTAGCAAACATAAGGTCCTGAATTCAAACCCCAGTACCACCAAAAAAAATAATTAAAAAAAAATGAAAATTAGTGGACAGGTTGGAGGTATATCTCTGTGGTACAGTGCTTGCCTAGTATGGGCAAGGCCCTAGGTTTCATCCCCAGTGCTGCAAAAAAGTGCACATTCATTGATTTTTAGTTTACATTTCAGTTCACAGAGGTGTATACAGCATCTCCACAATCTGAGATTCTCATTACCAAAAATACCCCGTACCTTTTAGCAGCCAGTCTGATTTCTCCTGAACTCACTCCTCCACCTCTAGGCAAGCACTGTCTACTTTCTGTCCCTATGGACTTGTCTCTTCTGGACATAAAATGCAAATGGAATCACACTGTTTGGTGTTTTGTGACTGGGCTCTTTGACACAGCATCATGTTTTGAAAATCTACCCGTGATGTAGCCTGTAGCAGTGCTGCTGTTCTTGTCACTGTCGAATGACATTCAGCTGTGTGCATGTACATTTTACTCTCCGTTCACAGTTGATAGACATTCAGGTTGCTTCCACTTTCGTTATTGCTGCGATGACCATCTGTGCCCAAGTTTTCGTGTAGATAGGTGCCATCATTCCTCTTGGGTAGACACCTAGGGGTAGAACTGCTGGTTCAGGTGATAACTGTTATTTCTTGAAGAGTGCCACACAGTTTTACAAAAGGAAGATGGGGCTGGTGGAGTGGCTCAAGTGATAGAGCGCCTGCCTGCCACTTAGCAAGTGTGAGGCCCTGAGTTCAAACCCCAGTGCTGCCAAAAAAAAGTCCCATCAAAAGGAAGACAGTTGTGAAGCAGTTTTTCTTGATCTGTTGTAAAGTGGTGTGGCTGTAATAGCATATTTACTGACCTTTGTACTAACTACAGAATTGTTAAGAGACTGGCAAATGAGACTTGATGATAGTCACATTTGTAGTTTTGAAAATGTAATCCATCACATTAAGAGAGTAAAGGAAACCCACAGGATCATCTTGATTGTAGAAAAATCATCTCGTAAAGTTAAACATTGTTTCAGGATGGAAAAGCAAATACTCTTACCAAACTAGGAACAGAAAGGAAATTCCTTAATCTGGTAGAGAGTATTTACCAAAAACATTATTACACATTATACTTATTAGTGACATGTTTAAAAGCTTTTTGTTGAGTGGCAGTGTGGCTCAACTGGCAGAGCATCTCCCTAGCACGCATGAGGCCCTGAGTTCAAGCCTCAGCGCTGCCAAAAAACATCTTTTTCCTTAATGTTGAGAATGAGGTAGGGATGCTATCTATCACAGTTTCTGTTCAGCAGGATTCTGGCGGTTTTAGTCAGTGTAATAAAGCCAGAAAAAGTAGTAAGAGCCCCAAAAATTGGAAAGGAAGAAATAAATGGCTTTTTTCTGAGACAGGGTCTCTATGTGGCCCAGACTGGCCTGGAGCGCCACGGCTCAAGCAGCCCTTCTGTGTTGGCCTCCAAGTACTTAGGACTACAGGCATGTACCACCATGTGGCTAGACAGTTTTGTGGTTGTGTACTTAGAAAATCTAAATTATTAGAATTAGCAAGTTTACAAGGTTGCTAGATTCAAGGCCAGCTAAGCAAAAGCCTATTGTGTTTCTCTACATTATCAACAAGCAGTTAGAAAGTGAAATTTCAAAAAAATACCATTTGAAATGACCATTTCTAGGTATAAATACATGTAAGAGTTTGGTGTAAGGACTAGAAGGTGTGCTTAATGGTAGAGACTACTTGGCAGACAAAAAATTTTTGATATAGAAAGCTAGGATGTTCTTGAGAGAAATTAAAGAAGACCTAAATGAACCATCATACTCATTAATTCAAATTCACAATATTCCAAATGTGTCTGTAGACTGAATGTGTTCTCAGTCAGATCCCACCAGGTTATGCATGTCCATAGGCTTGAAGTACATGCAACTAACAGGCTGGTTCTGAAATTAGTGTAGTTAGGGCTGGTGGAGGGACTCAGGCAGTACAGCACCTGCCTAGCAAGCGTGAGGCCCTGAGTTCAAACCCCAGTGCCACCAAAAAAAAAATCTTGTAGATGAAGAATGAGCCAAGACTCTCCATGATGTTCTTGAAGAACAAGGTATGGGGCAGTTTGCTCTTCTGGACACCATGACTTACAGCAAAGCTGGAGTAACTAAAGACCTCAGTACTGACCTGGATAGACAGGCTGTGGAACACAGTCGAGCCCAGAAACAGACCTGCATAGGCTCATAGATCTGGGTTTATGCCAAACAAAGTTTTGCAGAGCAGTGAGGGAGAGAACCTTCTTTGAAAATTAGTGCTGAGTCAACTGGATGTGAGAACAGAGGTGGGCTTCACCTTGCTTCCCACCTAGACAACATGGCTGCTGCCTTTTGGCTACAGGGGATTATATTGGTGACCTTAGAGTAAGAGCCTTTCAGACTAAATAGAATGTAGATGGCAATAACCATAAAATAAACGACTGATAATTAAACTACATTAAAGTTAAGAACCTTTGTTCATCAAAAGACATAGCTGGAGAGAATAAAAGACAAGCCACAGAATGGCATAAAATATTTATGCCACTACAATGAACAAAAAGCTTGCATCCAGACAATATAAAGAACTTTAAATCAATAAGAGAAAGATATGCAGCCCAATGAAAATTGGACAAGCATTTTTACAAAGGAGGGTATTCAAATTTACCAAAAAAAAAAAATGTTTTGAAAGATACTCAACTTTATAACCATGTATGGTGGTGCACACCTATAATCCCTGCCCTGGAGAGACTAAGGCAGAAAGATCACAAATTCAAGGCCAGCTTGGGCTACATAGCTTGACCCTGTCTCAAACAAAATAAACACCAGCCTCAACTTGGTTAGTGATGAAAGTAAACTAATAATACACAAAGAGATAACACCTCCACACTTTGGCATGGGTGATAGTAAAAGACTTAGAATGCCAAAGATTTGAAACCTGGTTTTTTTCCCTACAACTTTTTAGTGTGCTAAAACTAAATGCATTCCTTAGTACAGAATGTTCATAGCAGCAAAAACTAAAAGCAACAAGTAGAAAATAGCCAATGGCTGGCTATATCATTGTATTCCTACAAAGGAATACTGGTCAGTAATTAATGGACTAACACACATTTGCAGTGTTAAGTGGAAGAAGCCAGGAACAAAAGCATACATACTGTCCAGTTGCATTTTATGCAACTACAAGAACAGGAGTATAGCCAGTGCCAATGGTTCACGCCTATAATTCCAGCTACTACAGAGGTAGTCAAGAGGGTTGTGGTCCAAAGCCAACCCCGGGCAAATAGTTCTGAGCCCCTATCTTGGAAATACCCAACACTGGTGGAGTGGGCTGGTGGAGTGGCTCAAGTGGTAGAGCACCTGCCTAGCAAGCTTGAAGCCTTAAGTTCAAACCCCAGTACTGCCAAAAAGAAAAAAAAAAAAAAACTTTTATGAACTGTTAGGTTTGTTATAGAGGTGTTTACTGTGTGGCAGTTCATTGAATTGTATATTAATATTTTGTGCTCTTTTCTCCATGTGTTAGTCTTTTCCATTAGAACAAAAACGTGGCCGGGCACAATGGCTTACACTGTGATGTAGCTACTCCTGAGGCAGAGATCAGGAGGATCGTGGTTTGAGGTCAGTCTAGGCAAATAGTTCAAGAGACCCCATCTCAAACAATGGTCAGCATGGTGGTGGTTACCTGTCATCCCAGCTACGTGGGGAAGCACAAGTAGGATCATGGTCCAGGCTGGTCCGGGCATAAAATGAGATTTTACCTCAAAAATCCATTAGTCGATTAACCCAGAGCACAAAGGACTGGCACAGGGGCTCACGCAGGAGGGCAAGCACAGTGCTGTGAGTTCAAACCCCAGTACCACCAAAAAATAAATAGCAACAACCCACTAACCTTTCTAGCATGATGCTGTACCTACAAGAGAGCTCTCATTAGGAGTCCCAGCCTGACGGATACCTCCTCCCCATCACTGTAAAGCAACCTGGCAACATCATCTTACCCCTGAGAGGGCCGCGCTGCAAGACACCTCGAGATGCCTGGACCCTCTATGTACTGTGTTGTCCTTTGCACACACACTATAATATCTTATGTCTAAAATGGCACAGTAACAGATCAACTCAAGCACTAATAATAAAATACAATAACTGTAGCAGCATACTAAAGTAAAATGTATGTGAATGTGGCATCTCCTCTCAAAATGCCCCATACTGAACTCCCCCTTCTAGTGCCATGTGGGGAGGTGGAGTGAGGTGACTGGCGCGGGCTCTTGATGTAGTCAGGCTGCTGTGTAGTCGTCACAACATCGTCAGCGCTGAGCAGTCAGTCTGGTGACTGACCTCACGGATATTCTGGACAGTACAGAGTGGGGTGATGAGAGTCCATCAAGTTACTGACAGTGCACAGCTTAAAACTTAACTATTTCTGTGATACTCCACTTAATATTTTCAAACAGTGATTGGCGGCAGGTAACTGAAATCTCAGAAAGTGAAAATATAGATAAGGGGACTACCGAGCACACAGTTATGTTTGCCTCTCGCAGAACCCCAGAGGAAGAAAAACCAGAGAACCAAGAAGCTTTCCACTTTTTTTTTTCCTGGCCATACTGGGATTTGAACTCAGGGCCTTGAGCATTCTAGACAAGCACTATACCCTTTAAGCCACACCGCAGCCCTTTTTTTCAGACAGGATCACATTTTGCCTGGGGTTAGCCTCAGACTGTGGTCTTCCTACATATGCCTCCCACTAGCTGGGACCACAGGCATCCACCACCAGTTATACCTTAATAAAGCTGGGGAATCAAAAAAAAGATTTAAAGTAAATGGACAGGCACAGTGGTGTGGTGCATGCCTGTGAACCCAGCACTCAGGAGGCTGAAGCAGGAGGGTCTCACGTTCTAAGGCCAACGTGGGCTGTGTAGTTTGACCCTTCTCCCAACTCCCCCCTCACCAAAAAACAAAAGAAAAGTAAAGGCAGACAAGGCAGACATGGCATTCCTTCCGAAGAACAAGACAAGCCTCTCAGTGACAGCACCAGCCATCCCGTCACACACGAGAGCTGTGACGTGGAGGATAGGCGAGGCTGACAACCTTTATTTTTCCAGATACATGCCTCTTGTAGGTCACCAAAATTACGTAGCTAGAAAAAAATGTGATTGTGTTTCTTCTCAGAAGTCGTACTCCATACCCATCAACATTGACTTTCAGCGGAGGTATGCCACGATTGTGCTGGAGCTGGAGCAGCTGAACAAGGACCTGAACAAGGTTTTGCACAAGGTTCAGCAATACTGCTACGAGGTGGGTGAGCCACGAAAACTTCCCTCCAACCTTCACTTCACAAAGTCGAGAGTAGGTCCTTAGGCAGACCCATAGTTTGTACATATTTTCATTCTTCAAGTACTGCTTTGGTTTCTGGGGTTTTTTTGTTGTTATCATTGTTTTTGTTTTTTTGCTTTGAGAGACAGTCTTCCTGGGTAGCCCAGGCTGGCCTTGAACTCAAGATCCTTCTGCCTTAGCCTCCCAAATACTGGAATTATAGATCTATATCCCACACCTGGCAAAATAATTACTCTCAATTTCACTACCCCCAAAAGCATATTTTTGTTTATTTCCCCTGACCTTTTATATAAATACATTCACAGACATGTAACAGTGTATGCTTTTTCTCAAAAAATCATGGTCATTTTGTGCTTACGGTTTTGTTTTCTTCTCCATTAATCTGTGGATTTCAGTCACATAGGTCAAGGGGTTATTTCTGACTCACTGCTCACATATGATTGTATTTTTAAGGGTACTTCAACAGTTTCACCTAAAATTTGAGTTTTTCCTACAGAATAAGAAGTAAATTATTGTGCTGCTTTTAGATCCTTCTGTTTTTGCAATGTTTCAGGTGTGGTATAAACCACCTCTACTTGGGACATAAGATTCTTAAATACTTGACTTTTATTATCATTATTGTTGTTGTTGTTATTATTATTATTATTATTACCTCACAGGTAAGTCCCAAAAGTCTGCCATAGGTCATGCTTTCTGTCCACGTGGCCTGAACTGAGGGAAGGAGCTATATCACTCAGCACTGCACTAAGTCTGTCTTCTCCCTCCCTTTGCCATCGTCACCATTTACGTTTGCTTTCCTGATAGTCGCCTGTTACCCACCTGCCCATATGTGTTGTTCTAGTAAACAGGTTTCCTTCCCGAGTCTAGTGACTGCCCGTGAGGTGTAGACTACACAGCTCAGAATGACACGTGCAGCCAGCTGCCGCTCAGTGGCTTGTGGGAGTACCCAGGCCACTAGGGACAGGCTTCTCTCCCAGTGGAGCAAAACAGCTTCATTTTCACACAGCTCTGGTGGAATACACTACTGGCTTTAAAATAAGCACAGATGAGAGAGCATAATGAGACTGTCCTACCATGTATTTATAAGAAGACTAGAATGATCAAACGTCACTGTTCATTTTCATCCCAAGTGAGAAACTATGCAGGCATTCACCAATACTGGAATGGATTGATAAATGGTGGTGTTACTCTGGAGTGCTACCCAGCAGTGACAATGAAGGAGCCTGACTTCGGCGGCTCTGGATATCTCACAAATATCCTACAGCCAGGTGCCGAAGTGCAAATTGCATATGGTCCCACCTCTAACACATACTGACCCACGACACTGCCCATGGTGGTAGCTGCCCATGTCAAGGCAGACCCAGAGGATGGCATTAGGGGGCCTTGGCACTGACCCGCTGCTGTATGATTTGTGTACTTGTGTGTATTTATGCATGCTTCAGTTAAAACTTTTTTAAATATTAGGACAGATTTACTGCTTGCAGCATTATTGGTAATTGTAAAACATTAGAGAAAGGAGGAAAAAATTGGCTAAACAATTTATGGTACACAGTAGTCCTTCTATGCTGCTATAGGAAAGGACAGGAAGTCCTTCCTGATGTGGAGTGGTTCCAGGATAAATTCAGCCGGGCCTGGTAGTGAGTCCCAGTTGGTGGAGGCAAAGGCAGCCTGGGTAACACAACCAGACCCCATCCCACACACACAAGAAAGGCAAGATACAAATATGTGTAGGCAAGTTTTATATAATTATACAAATAATTATGAAATAATACCATCTATTACATACTATAATATACAGTAGATTATCATATGTAATACATAGTGAGCACAGCATATCTTTTATATACATATTTACATACATGTATAGTTTGTTACCATTGGAATAGGAAATAAGTAGAACTAACCATATCTGTATCTGCTTACTATCTCAAAAAGAGACACAGGAAGGATAAACCCAATACTGATTCATTTGGGCATGGATGGGATTGGTGTGCACAGAGGAACAGCTGTTCCTGGAGTGATTGTTTCCCCAAATAAAGTCAAGTAAACTCTGATAGAGCACTCACCTAGCATGTACAACATCCTGGAACTGAGCCCATGTACAAAACAAAACCAAAAGCCAAATAAACTAAAATTGAATACAAAACTGAATAAACCCAACTGTATTTCAGAGGTGTGCACAAACCCTGAAGACGACAAAAACAGTTCCACACAGCTTGAGCACAGTGTTTTGATGTGATCCCTTAGTCAAAATCAAACTATAAATAAATACTGAACTCGGTAGGGTTTTCCTCACAGTGGTGTGGATTAGCAATTTGGGAACCTTTCTGTGTATTTAGGGCTGAGTAAATGAGCAACTAAGTATAGTGAGTATAACAGGAATTGAGTTTCTCACCATTGGAGAAGGGAACTATGAAAGGGGGGCTCAATTAAAATAGGACTCAGTATGAATTCATGATTATTTTACTTAATAAGTAGGTATAAGTAAGTGTGTGTCTACTGAGAGAACCAAGGGACAGGGATACCCTAATAGCCAGGAATACACCTAGCACCCCAACCTTGGTCTAAACACCACCCTCCAATAAAAGGAAGCATAGAACTCTTTGAGAAAAATGGACTCTGGGACTGGGCATGGTGGTTACATCTATAATCCCAGCCATTCAGGAGGTAGAGAGATAGGAGGGTTGCAGTTTCAGCCCAGCCCTGGCAAAAAGTTAGCAAGACCCCACCTCAAATAAGTAAGTCAGGCATGGTAGTGTGCGTTTGTAATCCCAGCTGCACTGGAATCAAAGCTAGCAGAATTGGGCTCCAAGGCTGGCTCCAGGCAAAAGCAAGAGACTATCTGAAAAATAATTAAAGCCAAAAAGGTCTGGGGGTGTGGCTCAAATGGTAGAGCACCTGCCTAGCAATGAAAGCCCAGAGTTCAAACCCCAGTACCACCAAAAAAGAAAGAACGGACCTACTCCAGATGGGGGGGCGGGCAGAGAGGACAGAGTGTGAACTAGGGCCAAGGAAGTAAAATGTGTCACCCAACCCATGCAGACCCATGAAAAGGAGCTGGCTTGACAGTTCCTGCTGGCCACAGCTGAGACAGCTTCAGCAGCTTCAGAATAAATAGATACACTTAAGAATCTACAGTGTAGAACTCATCAGAGTCCATGACTCCACACTGAGCGAGTGTGGAGTTTAAAGTGACTGAGTCATTTTAAAGCAAAGTTCTTTGTTGAAAAATGCCAACTAAGCCAGGCAACCAGTGCTCACGCCTGTAATCCTAGTTACTCAGGAGGCAGAGATCAGGAGGATCAGTTTGAAGCCAACCCAGGCAAATAGTTCATGAGACCCTTCATGAACTATTGGTGGAGTGGCTCAAGGTGTAGACCCTGAGTTCAAACCCCAATATTGCCCAAAAAAAGAGGGAGGGAGGAAAAATGCCAACTAATGAAGGAGGAATGGCATTAGGGAGAAGAGCCTCAGGCAAAGACGGGAGTGGCCAGCAGATGCTCAGCCTGGCATGGAAGGGTCTGTTGAAGGATAGAGCTCTACCTGGCCTCGGGTGTCACCACAAACACTTATTAAATAATTGCAGAGGGGAATTTGCAGACACTAACTTCTTAACAAAGTGACAGACTCACCACCAGTAAGGGGCAGAGAGCACTGGTACCCTCCAGTAAGACACACAGGAAAGGGCTCCGCCGTGCTGTACAGTCCTGCAAAAAATGTGACCATGAGGACACAACCTACATCCAGGGATGGCACACAAAGTAATTGACTGATACACCCCCGAATTAACAGCGTTGTGAACTCCCGAGGCCTTCTCCAGAATGAAGGGATCTAAAGGCACACATGGAAATCAGCACCAGAAGAACAGTGTGTAGGATGTGACTGCACCGAGATGGCGTTGTATCACTGTCAAATCTCCTAGTGTGACGACTGCTGTGGCGAGTAAGGAGTGTCTCTGCACTTGGAAAATACAAAGTGGAGTGCTGGGTACTTACCCAGACGATTAAAGGGAAATTATAGGTACACGAACAGTGAAAGGTCAGCTAGCGTAGCAAAAGGTCTGAACAATTAGTGAATCTAAGCAAAGGGTTAGCAAGAGTTCTTTGTTCTTATACTAATGTTTTTAGAACTTTGAAATTGTGTCAAAATTAAAAATAAAAAATACAGAACACATCAGAGAAAAGATACTGGGAAAAATTGTAAGAGCATCATCTTACATATAAATTCTACATATAAATTGTTTTGTGGACATCTGCATCTGAAAGGCAGACACAAGTGCACAGAGAAATAACCATGTCCTCATCAGTTTCCATCTCACATTTCAATCTGTGTTCAGCTTGCACCAGACCAGGGGCTGCAGCCTCCCGACCAGCCGACAGACATGAGGCGCCGGTGTGAGGAGGAGGCCCAGGAAATAGTTCGGCAGGCAAACTCCTCATCAGGACAGCCCTGTGTGGAGAATCAGAACCTGACGGACCTCATCTCCAGGCTCACAGCCATTCTGTTACAAATCAAGGTGAGCAGATGGCAACACTGTGCAAGCTATATTAAAGTATTGCTAAGGAATCCTGGTCCATAAGTTCTTTTGGGTATTTTGTGTCTGGGTTTGGGTTATAATTAAATTTTAAATTGTTTTTTCCCTTTAGTGTCTAGCAGAAGGAGGAGACCTGAATTCTTTTGAATTCAAATCACTTACAGATTCATTAAATGATATCAAGAGTACAATAGATGCTTCAAATATCAGGTAATTCATGAGGTATATTCCAACAATTTATGTTAAATTCATAGTGATTTTTCAGTGTAAGTTCTATGAATTTTGCATATTTTTGAAGTAGCCATATATTTTTATCCTTTAAAATACTTTAAAAGGGCTTTTCAGTATATCATGCAGGTGGGTTTTTGCATGACGGGATCAGGATATGTGACATGTAGCTTTTGGTTTATGGAAGGAGTTCAGCTTACAGCAGCAGAGTTTTCCCGTAGTGGAGGCTCTCCTCTCCCCTTGCCCTGGCTCCCTGCTGCTGTAAAGCAAGCTTTCCCAGCACCACTAAGGCAAAATCGGCCTGTTGCAGTCAGTCGACTACTGCAGAAGAGGAGATACTGATCCCTCCCCAAGGTTGCTGTCTCAACTAATTCCAGACTGAAGTTTACCTCTTCCTTTTTTTAAATACTGTTTTTCATTTTGTGAAACAATAGCCAACCACGTTTCTTCTCCTTAGCTGCTTTCAGAATAACGTGGAGATCCACGTGGCACACATTCAGAGTGGCCTGAGCCAAATGGGAAACTTGCACGCTTTCGCAGCCAACAACACCAACAGAGACTGAGCAGGAGATCCAGCAGCACGGGACCCAGGAGAAGTTCTTCTCCAGCACCGAACGACTGAACTGCTGGGAGCCAGGGAGGTGCACGGCCCCAGATAAGGCGTTCACACACCATTCTGCTGCTTAAACCAGCATTGCGGATTTAGTACCCGGATGTAGTGATACTGCTTATGTTACCATGTTTACTAGCAAGTGTTTTAAATGGAAAATGTCTGACATTCTACTTCATGGAAGAATATGTCCACCACTTTTTTAAGTGCATGAACTCAGCCCAGCAGATGCTGATAGCTACTGCGGAGGAGAAATGAAACAGTGGTGTGTGCGGAGCCCATCAGAAACCACCACTGCCGTGGGTTAGCTGATCTTCACCTCAGTCTCCAAAGGTGACAACCTGAGGTGTGGGAAGGCCGGACACCAGGAAGCCACTGGGATACAGGCTGGACAGGTGGACTTGACAAGTGTATGTGATACATACTTGCAGTGTGTCGTGCTTCTACAGATCAATTTATAATAAATATTTTAATTTATCATAATTTATAAAAGAAACCTTTGTTATTTGTTGGAAGAAAATGAAGGTGCAGTACTCAGTGTTGGCAGGTGGGTCTGGCACACCTTCCTTGTGTCCAGGCAAATGTGCACGGAGGCTTCTTAGGTTTATTTTTAGAAAGACTGATAACACACTATTTTCATACTTTTTGTTTATTTGCACAACTTTTAAACCAGATTACTGGTTAAAATCCAACAGTACACAATTTATAAAGAAAAAATATTTTGTAAGGAAAATAATGGGAATAGCCAGTGTTGTGAACTCCAAAGGAAAGGTTTGGTTTTGGTGGTTTTTTTTGATTTTCTTTTTTAAGAAAACCCTGCTTAAAATGTTAATCTTGTTTTAAAAAAAAAAAAATATATATTTCGAATTTTCTTTGTTTTAATATAGAACATTATAAAGCCAAAATATAACAAATTGTTTTCAGACTTGGAATTTAAGGTGTAGCTGTAGAGGTGGTTTTGATTCTTTTAGATGTCTCATAAAATGAGACTTTTTATATGTTAATGTATAATAAAACTGAAATAAGATTATTTTCCATTTTAAATTTTTGTATAGTTTAAAAGCTTCTGTGTTCTTTGTTGGTTTTGTGCCACTGTAAAACTTTAGTGCAGAGTTTATATTTAGCTAAACTGTTATGTTAATTAAGAAATGTATAAATCTTCTATTCTTAATATTTGTAATTCTAAATAAATTGATCTATGAAAGTTAATATTATCTACATTTTAAATACATTCTTATTTAATTGATGCAAGTTGATGGGTGTTCCTTCTATTTTAAAACTTTTGAAGAATTTCCACTAAATTTTTAGGGGAAATAATACAGATTCATTATCTAGCAAGCGAGAGACCCTCCATCAGATTGGGTTTTCTGATGGTGGTTTTTTGGTTGTTGGTTGTGTTGCCTAGGCTTGACTGATCCTGCTTCAGCCTCCTGAGTAGCTAGGACTAAAGGCACCACCTCTGTGCCCTCTCTGCCAAGTCATTTTGACTTGCATTACCATCCTCTGTTGTTTTAGTGAGACTTTTTTTCCATCTGGTTATAAATCATCACTGTTGAAACACTAAACAAGTGAATTCTTAACCTAGCTAGTATAGACCTAGGAAAAGGTAGGGTTTTTTGTTTGTTTTGCAGTACTGGGGTTTGAGCCACTCCACCAGCCCTTTTTTGTGATTGGGTTTTTCGAGATTGGGTCTCACTAACTATTTGCCCAGATTGGCTTCAAACCACAATCCTCCTATCTCTGCCTCCTGAGTAGCTAGGATTGATTATGGGCGTGAGCCACCAGCACCTGGCTAGTTTTAATATCTTCTGTCTAGAATTGGGTAAACTTTTTTTCATTTTCTTTTTTTTCTTTTTTTGGATGGTACCGGTGGTTGTTTGAACTCAGGGTCTCTCGCTTGCTAGGCAGGTGCTCTACTGCTTGAGCCACATACAGCTGCTTCCATATTGCTTAAGGCTGGCTTGTCACCCTTAAGTGACAGCTGCTAAACACAGGCTGCTTGTGCTCGCTGCTGTCATGTTCTGCCGGGACCACGTCTGACAATACGGTTGACTCGTTACTGTTGAGGGAAGGAGGGATGTATGTGATTCAGCCATGGGTCCCAGTCAGCTGCTCGTGGATTTGAATGGTACTGTCTGCTTAGCACGTTTTTGAAGCTCTAAAGGAAGTGGTCAGAAACCGTATCGCACAAAGGAACAAGCCAGACCTGGCTTTTACTTACATAGGTTGGTTCTGAGTCACCTTAGGCAAGCTCCAAAACACATTCACCTATTGGCATTGAAAATCTACAAAAGATTTGCCTACTGAATCTTCTCTGATCTTCACCACCACTCAGCCCACCACTGCTAGGCTATGTGAACACTTCAGTCATCTTCCCACTCATCACCAGCTGCTGCAGGGGGTTGTTCAAAAGCAGAGTTAAGTCTGTGGCCTTCAGGACAAATTCAGAACTCTGGTAAGATCCACATGGTCAGCATCCCTGACTTGTTTCTCATCCTGCTCCTTTCGCCACAGGGCCTTTGCACATGCAGTACCTCTGCCCTCTGCCCCCAGATCTTACCTTCAGCATCACTTTCTCAAGGAAGCGCTCCTTGACATAGTGCATCCATCATTGTCTCCAGATCACAGGCCTCTCTTTCAGGCACGAGTCATATTTGCAATTTTATGTTTCTTAAGAGTGATCTTTTGTCCCATGCTGGCTTCTGCTCCATAAGGGAAAGAACAGCTTCTGGTTTTGCTCACCATTTCATTTCCGGATCCTGATAAAGTACCTGCTTGCAGGCACCAAACCAAATACTTGTGTGATGAGTTAACAAATGAGAGTGTCAGAATTGCTCCAAGCAACAGTGCTATCACTGGGATTAGAACATGGTCTTCCAGGATTGCTTTGAAAGCCAGTATTCACTTGCGTGGAGGTTGCTTTTAAAACTATCACACTGCCTGTATTGCACTGCAATGTAGGAGGCACATGGCAGAGGTCAGGCGGGTGGGCAGAAGCAGTCCTGTTTGAGTCTGGGCCATTACTAGTTACAAGCTCTGTGATTGTGAACCACTGCTTAGATTGAGTTTCTTGATCCTTACAATGAGTAGAACAGCTGGGCGTGGTGGTGCACGCTTGTAATCCCAGCATTCAGGAGTCTGAGGCTAATGGGTCAGGAGCTTGAGGCCAGCTCAGGCTACATGGCAAGACCCTGTCTGGGGGCAGGGGGGCCAGAGAACGATCCCATCTTACACAGAAGGGACAAGCACTGAAGTGTAGCACCTGTGACACATTGAGCGAGTAGGGTCTTAGAGTTTTAAGGGATGTGCAGGCTACTTCTCAGAAGATACACAGTTCTTAAATCTTCAGACTGACAACAGCAGTTAAGTATTTGTTTTTTTAATTGCTCACTTGAGAAAACAGAACGTAAGACATAGAAAGGCAGTAATACAATTAAACTTAAGATTTATTTTGAATTTGATTCTTAGTGAACCAGAGAGTGTCATGAGATCATCCTTCCATTGTGTGACTGTTGTCATCTCAGCCACATCTCAAGTTTAAGTGTAAATTTCTGTGATGCTGAGACATCCTGGCACAAGATGGCCGGCCCCAAGCACAGAAGCACAGTGCCTGGCACCTGGCAAGCACTTGAAGCCCTGGGGAATGTCTGCCACCTCATTTTTTGTGTCAGTTTTCAGAGGGTTCAGAAGTTGCCACTAAAGCCTGAGCTGTGTTCCTTGACTGCTTTCAGTGGTGCATTTGCTGCTCTGCAGAGCACAGACAGGGCTGTCAGGGCTGGAGTAGCTCAGGTGGTAGAACACCTGCCCAGCAAGACGCCCAGTCCCCAGTGCTGAGGGAGAAGCCCCTGAGCATCCCCGTAGAAGCCACCATCAACGGCTTAGTGCAGGCTCACCACTGAGGCACGGTTCTAGCCTTCACCCTGGGATCCCATGAGCCCCTCACCTGCAGTCCCCTCACGCTGCCTCCTTTGTCCCAAAGGACCTCTGATACCTTAACTGACCTTAAGCTAACTTAGAACTAGTCATTTACAAGCGCTAAGACTTACAAACTGGGGAAGGAATCTCCTGAAGCCAAATACGACTGTTGCTAAACTTGAACAAGCAAAGGTACGCCTTCAACCAAGTGAGATTTCTCAACACAGTGGCCTGCGGATACCATGTCAATTACCGGCTACAAATTACTTTTGCAGGAACTTCAAAGGAGCGAAGACTCTTCCTCAGGACGACATGTCCCTGTCGTGGAAGTCACACGTGGCCACACTGAAACACTTGGGAACAGCATTTAATAATCCACTGCAATCGCACAAGAAGTACAATAACAGGTGCTGAGGGTGAGCTGGGGCCATCGGAGGAAGTCCCCGGTGTCAGAAAGGTGAAGCTGGGGGGTGGGAAGTGGAACGACAGGAACGAGCTTGAGACTGCAACTGTGGCCTGAAGGTTCGCACGGCTGAAGGTGATGTGGGTAAACTGAGAGCTAGAGGCACCGGGTATAAAGAAAGACAACCGGCGGATGAGAAAGAGTAGGTAGGGGCTGGGGAGCTGCCGGTCAGAGGGTGCAGAGCCTCGTGACATCTGGTACCTAACGCTTGAGTGGCTCTGAGGTGTCACTTCAAAAGATGGTGAGAAGAGGGCGTGATCTGGGGCTCCGTCAGTCACTCCACGTTGCATGACGTAAGTACATACGGTTAAAACAAAAGTACTCAGTAATAAGGAAGTAATAATCTTGGTGAAAGGACAAGGGCAGAGGAGACGGTTAGAATGACTTTAAGGTTACAGGCCTAGCAGGGACGACAGCCACGGTCAAGAGCAAGGGGAGCTGGGCGCCCGTGGCTCACGCCTGTCATCCTGGCTACTCAGGAGGCAGAGAGCAGGAGGATCACAGTTCAAGACCAGCCTGGGCAAACAGTCCACGAGACCCTATCTCAAAAAACCCATCACAAAAAAGGGCTGGTAGAGTGGCTCAAGGTATAGGACCTGAGCTCAAACCCCAGTACCACAAAAAAAAAAAAAAAAGAGGAAACTGAGTCAAGTGAGGGGGTTCTTGGGTCTTGTGAAGAAAATGAGCTCTGAACAACCAGTCCAAACCGTAACAGTTCTGGCAAGAAGACCATGGATGCGGTCAACTCCAGTGTGCAGACTTCAGACCCACAGGCCCCTGGTGGGAAGGTGGTGGCCGGTCACGGAAAGAGCAGGCCATGAGTGAGGCTCACTGCCAAAGAGGGGCCGCTTCAAAGATAGGTGACTCAAAGCATCACTGAGGTTAACGGTGACGTGTCCTTATCCTGGAAGTCACACAGGATGACATTCTGATGTGTGTCACCAGGCTAAGGACCTATGAGCCGCTCCAAAGTTCTCCCAGCATCCTCAAAAGCTACCGAAGGCAGAAAAGATGTGCTCCTCCCAGGAGTCCAGCCTTGCCCCAGTGTCTTCAGAGAGAGGACAAAAGGTTTCAAAAGTGTGGCCTTGGGAGCTGGCATCAGAGATGCTGGCGCCAGCCGTGCTGGGGTCGGGCAGGCAGTTCACAGCTCCCTCCGGAGGCAGCTGGGGCTTCAGACACTTGGCCTCCATCCCAGGAGCTGCACGGTGGAGGAAAGGCTCTGGGCTCCCCGAGTTCTGGAAGGACTTGCCACTCTGACGCCTGGACTTGGCGCGCCTGTTCTGGAACCACACCTGAAAGGGGAGCAAACACCAAAAACCTGCTTGGGCTGCAGTTTTGTGTACACTGTGTTCATCCTCCAGAATACCTCCAGTCCCCAGGGCACCCCAGCTCTTTCCCGTGGATGCCAAACGCGTCCTGCCTAGGAAGCTGACAGCTGTACCACCATACGGGTCCAGAGAAAGTCCCCCGCTCCAGGGTAGAATGAGGCTCCTCATTACAGCTGGCAACTCCAGGGCCCCAGCTCCCGGGTCCTGACTGAGCCGCCTGCAGGCAAGAACGCCCTTTGCACCAGGTTTTTCAAGGTGTCACTAAAGTGCCACACGTCCCCGCTTAGCCCAAGATGCTACATCCTTTCCAAGCCAAATTCAGAACTAATGCCTGCTTAAGAAGGTGGTCTAGGAGCGGGGTGCAGCGGTGTATGCTTGTAATACCAGCACTTGAGGAAGCAGGAGGATCACAAGTGTGAGGCATAGCAAGACCCTGTCAGAGAGGGGCGGGGAGAGGGGAGAGAGAGAGAGAGAGAGAGAGGTTGGGAGGGAAGGAAGGGAGTAAAGGGAAAGAAAAGAGAGAGGCTCACTCACGCCTGTAATCCTAGCTACTCAGGAGGCAGAGATCAGAGGGATCACGGTTCAAAGGTCCAAAGTCCGCCTGGGCAAACAGTTCCTGAGACCCCATCTGGAAAAACCCTTCACAAACATGGGGCTGGTGGGGTGGCTCCAGGTGAAGGCCTGAGTTCAAGCCCAAGATGGGGGGGAAGAGGGGAGAAGGAAAGAGAGAGAAGGAGACAGGGATGGAGGGGGGAAAGGGGGGAGAAGGAAAGAGAGGGATGGAGGGGGAGAGAGAGAGAGAGGGATGGAGGGGAAGAGAGAGGGAGAGAGGGAGAGAGGGGGAAGAGAGGGATGGAGGGAAAGAAGAGAGAGAGAGAGAGAGAGAGAGAGAGAGAGAGAGAGAGAGGGAGGGAGGGAAGGAGAGGAGAGAGACCGGGGCTGGTGGGGGTGGCCGAGGCGCCGTGCCCTCCCCCGGCGGCGGCCTCACCTGGATCCTGGCCTCGGGGAGCAGGGTGAGCGCGGCCATGCGCTCGCGCAGGTGGATGTCGGGGTAGCGCGTGTGGCGGAACACGAGCTCCAGGAGCTGCAGCTGCTCGGGGCTGAAGGACGTGCGCTTGCGGCGCTGCGGCGCCGACGGGGCGGCCGCGCGTGCGGGGGCGCGGGGGCGCGGGGGCGCGGGGGCGCGGGGGGCGGGGGCGCGGGGGGCGGGGGGCGCGGGGCGCGCGGGGCCCGGGAAGCCCGCGCGGGGCCGGGAGGGCCGGGGGCACCGGGGCGCCCGCGGGAGCGCGCGGAGCCCGAGCTGCGGGGCGGGGACGGCGCGGCGGCCATGGCTCCCGGGCCCCGGGCGGGACCCCGCTTATACCCGCGGCCGGGGCGGGCATCAAAGCCGCCGCGGGGGGCGCCGCTTCCGCCGGCGGGCGGGGCGCGAACTCGGCCCCGCCGCAATCCACATCCCGGGCCGCCCGGGTCCCCGGGGAAGGTCGCCCCACGTCACCGAGCCGCCATGGACACGGGCGGGCGCGGGGGTCGGAGCGGGAGGAAGCGCTCGGGCCCGGCTCTGTCCCCGGGGACGCGTCCCCCGGCCCCCGGGCAGCTCCGGAGGCCTCCAGGGAAGGCGGCCCTCCCGCCCCTCGTTTACTCTCAGACCCCAGGACCCGAATGGGCGGCGAGACTTCGCTCCTCTCCATGCGCCGTCGTTCTTTCTTTTTTTGGCGGACTGGGACTTGAACTCAGGGCCTTCACCTTTGAGCCACTCCACCAGCCCTTTTTGGTGATGGATTTCTTCGAGATAGGGTCTCACGGACTATTTGCCCGGCTGGCTTCGAACCACGATCCTTCTGATCTCTGCCTCCTGAGTAGCTAGGACTATAGACGTGAGCCACCGCACCTGGCTCCTTCATTCTTCAATTCATTACTTCAAACAAAAGTGATAAAGCGTCACTGTTAGGCGGTGCTTCTCGGGCGTTTCTGAGTCAATTGCACAGGTCAGGAAATGACCACGGTCCACACTGATTCCCGCTGGGAAGCCAGCGTGCCAAGCTGACCTCGACCCAGGACTCCCTAGGGAGGAGAGGGAGGCCCAGCCTCTCTCCAGGCTTCAGTTCCTGTGTCCCAGGCTCAGGGCTCCTCAGAATCCTGGTCCCAGCCCCTGGTGTGGCTTCAGGGAGGGACCTGGGAAAGCAGGTGACATTTCATCTAGAATACCAAACTCAACCGCAGGCAGAGGGCCCTGGGTTTGGTCCCTGGCACAAAAAAAAAAAAGAAAAGAAAAGAAAAGAAAAAATAAAGCCAAAACTGGAGTGAGGAATGCAATGAGATGTGGCTGGAGATGCCAGCTCATGGTGGGGACTGGGGACAGGTTTCCCAGTTCACCTGTGATCTTCCTGCACTAGGGCTGGGAGACAGAAGTTGCAGGAAGGTCTCTGCAAATGCTGGCAGTGCGCAGTCACTGGAAATTAAAGAGATCCATTTGCCTTTGGTTCAGTAGTTTTCCTGAGATCCAAGTTCTAGGTTCCTTACCCAACTACTTGCTGCAAACGTGCAATGAATATTTGGTACCTCTTCAAACCCATTCCCCACCTGAAAAATGGAAAGGGCCCCCTTCTTGGATATATCTTTAAAAATGTTTTTTGTATAAGTTATTTTCCCAAAGTAGATAAACTGTAAAATTTAAGGCACCGTAAAGGACTTGTTCTACAACAGCAGGTCGGTTTCCTAGTGTCCAAAGAGCAAACTGAAATTCAAGGCTTGCTGCAGACAGCCATCAGGAGGTTAGGGTCTGGTTCTGCCACACGGGGGCCAGCTCCCCACTGCTGTGCTGAGCGCTGCCGGCCTGGGATTTAGTCTGAAAGATGCTCAGCAGACCCAGGCGAGGCTAAGGCAAAATGTCTGCAGCAGCCCAGGATGGGGCCCTGGGCCACTGTCCCTTGTGCATCCCCCACATTTCCCGCCACGGTTCCTGTGCCCCGACACCCAAATATCACAGAGGCCTGTCTTTCCTCCCCAAGTGCTAAGTGCTCTCTTCCCAGGCTCTCTTTGTTGTTCAGGCCGGGCCATCTCCACCCTGCCCAAGACCTGGTGGAGGAGCCCAGGAGCCCGGGTGTATATTAAAGGGGAAACCAGGAAAAGGCAGCCGAGGGGAGTCCATGGCTCTACTTCCTGCTTGAGATCCGCAGGGATGTCAGCCCCTTTGATCCGGCCTCCTTTGATTTCTCTCCTCTGCTGCGTCCTGGAGTTTATCTTAGAGCCAGCGGTTTTGAGATACTGACAGACAGCTCCCTCCGAAAGGCAGTACTGTGCCAGGGAGGTGACGATGTTAGAAGCCTTTTTTTCTTTTTCAATGCTGTGGGTTAAGCCAGGGTCTTCCCCATAACAGGCCAGGGCTCTGCCATGCACTACACCCCAAAACCCATTATCTGAGTTTTTTAATTTTTATTTCATTTTAATTGATTTAGATTTAAATCTTCTGTGGCTCTTGCCTCCCATATGCACAGCACGGATTTGTGCCCTTTTCTGATGAGTTTATATGCAGATGCACGGGCTTCGTTTGAATCCTAGAGTCCCTTTTTACCGTTTTAACAGAACACTGGGTCATAGACTTAATCACCCCATTTTACACCAGTCTCCTGTAGCATTGGCTGAGTGGTGTGTTAGATATCACTGTAGTGTCCTTCAACACTGGTGGTTTGGGATCACTGTCTGGTTGAAGGTTTTTGGTACTGCAGGGTATCATTTTTAACATTGTCATCTAACTTTTTTTTTTAGCAGTACTGGGATTTGAACTCAAGGCTTCACGCTCCCTAGGCAGGCTGTCTACCACTTGGGCCCCACCACCAGCCCTGTCATTCAACTTAAATCTCATCTTGTTTTTGCTTTTGCTTGTAGCACTGGGATGAACCCGGGGCCTCAGGCATGCAAGCGCTCTCACTTAGGAACGACCACTCTGTTCTCTTCGAGCCACGCGGGGGACTCGCGGCAGTTCCCGGACTGCACCACTGCACGGGGCGCGTGATGCGTGTTGGATTAGGGTGTAGTGTATACCCTGCGTGAAGACACTCTGCTAAGGACATGTTAGACAGAGGCTCGGGGGAACCCGAGCCCTGCCATGACCTGTCCTGTCTGCTCGCAGGTCATTTATTAATGTGTCAGCATGACCTAAGGTCAGCCTGGACTCTGTCCCCACCTGCATGTATTGGGCGTGTACTTCCACACATCCATAATTTTGGTAGACTGTATTATAGCAGGGAGACCTCTGTGCAGGCAAGATACCACCCCAAGGTGATCTCATCAAACCTCAGACTCTGGTTTTTTTTGGTGGGGGGAATGGGGTTTGATCTCAGGGCTTCCCACTTACAAAGCAGTCTATCTACTGCTTGAGCCATTTTGCTCATTATTTTGGAGATGGGGTCTTGAGAACTATTTGCCCAGGCTGGCCTTTATCCTCCCCATCTCAGCCTCCCACATAGCTAGGATTACAGGAGACAGCCACTGCTGCCTGGCCAAACAAGGACTCTTAATAATCTAGGATATGGGACACTTTCAAGTAGATTCTAATCCTTTTTTTGTTTGGGTTTGGGTTTGGGTGCTGGAGATGGAACCCTGGCTCGTGAGTGCTAGGCATGAGGCTTGCACTCCACCACTGAGCTACACCTCAGGCCCTAAGGAATTGCTCACTGGAGCCCACAGGCCCATGTGCGCTAGACGAGCCGCACCCCAGCCCTTCACCCCCTTCAGTGGGCACTGGGAAGGGGAAGGGGTGGCTTTCAATTGACAGTTCCACTCTCTCAGGCAACTTTGGCTCCCCTTGTCTCTGATTGACCTCCTGCGCTCTGCTCACTGGCTCCAGGGCAGGCAGGACCTGGGCTGCAGCTCGGGGACAGTTCTCACAGCCTGGCTTGAGCGGGTGGCCTTCCCACCATGAGGAAGCCCGCCCAGCTCAGCAGACTTAGGCCCCTCGGGGGTCTCCGTTAGCCCACTCCTGTATGGTGCCTGTAATACACTTCCACTCTGCTTTGTAACTTCCATGGACAGTGCCCACGGGAGCCCCGGTTTTAACGTGGCTTTTATTCTAGGGTCAGTTAACTCATTACCACTGAGACTTGGTCTCTGCTACATTTCCCGCTAAGAAGGAGAGCACGCCTTTCCTCAAGTAGCCCATTCGAGGCTTGGGTCAGCAACCACTCAAGCCTGGAATATTTAGGCGTGGCTGAAATTGAGAAAACGCTAGGAAGCTACTGAAGAGGCTCCCACGCCAGACACGGGACATCGCGAGCATTTGGTACCAATAGCAAGGGCTGAGGTGGAGCTCATGGGTAGAGTTCCATCCCAGCAATGCAAAATAATAATAATAAATGTAAGAAAAGAAGAAGAAGCAGGGGGAATGGAAAGAAGGAAGGAGAGAGAGAAAGGAAGGAATTAAAAATAATAACATAAGAAAAGGGAAGGAAGGAAGGAAAGCAGGATCTGTGAGAGAAGCTGACCTGGCCGGAGAACCAAGATGCCCTCTGGGCAGACAAGGTCCTCAGTCTGGGCTGGCCAGGGGCAGGAGGAGGACGCAGTAAGTGACCACAATTGGAAGTGGGTTTTGCCTCTGTGACTTGGCCATAGCCAGGCGGCCACCAAGCCTGAATTTTCTGCATCAGAGGGCAGTTTCTGCAGGACATGAGAGGTGCAGGGCAGGGCAGGGCAGGGCAGGCTTGGCCTCCAGGACAAAGGTGAGGCTGAGGCTCTAGGAAGGCGAGTTTGGGTGGGTTGTGAGTAGCTGCAGCAAAGATGTGAACCAAGGCCTGTGCAACCCCCCTGGCGAGGTGGCTGTGCCCTGCTCAGGGACAAAGACCAAGGATGCAGAGAGGAAGAGGACACAGCTCACACAGAGCACAGCTCCTGAAGCTCTTCTACCCCAGCATCTTCCACCTGGGTCTTGCTCCTCCTCTGTGGTCCTGTGCATGTCCCTGAGAGCTCTGGGTGTACTTCTGGGGTTCTCTAGAAATTTCCCCAAAATGCAGAGGTGCCAGACTCACGTCAGCCCAGGTGACAAGAAGGCCCAAGGCAGAGGCTCAGCTTAGAGTGTTCATTTGGGTATTGGGGGTGGGGGGCTTTCTGATGGCAGGACCTTCCAAATGAAGGTCATATTGGGTGAGTTGTGAAGATGAAGCCAGCCTGGAGAAGGCAGAACTTAACTTACAGCAAGGTAAAGAGGGTGGAGGGCCGTCAGGGTGGCTCCGCCTAGTAGGTGCAAGGCCCTGAGTTCAAACCCCAATGCCATCAAAAACAAATAATAATAAATAAAAGATGGAAACCGCAAGTCTCAGAGTTCCCAGCACCTGGGCCAAACATGGAGAGGCCACTGCAAATGCATTGTACAGAAGCCCTGTTGGAATCCCCACAGATATGTAGAACGCATTCCAAGAACTGCACAGAAACCATCTGAACAGAAAACTTCAACCAAAGATTCAGACAGAAAACACTCCAGAAAAGACCTACTGAAGAATGAAAGTAACAAGCATGAGGTCCTGAATTCAAACCCCAGAGCCACCAAGAGAGAGAGGAAGGGAGGGAGGAAGAGAGGAGGGAAGGAAGGGAGGGAGGGAGGAAGAAAGGAAGGGAGGATCGAAGGGAGGGAGGAAAGAAGGAAAGAAGGGAGGGAGGAAGGGAGAGAGGGAAGAAGAAAAGGGAAGGAAAGAAGGGA